AGGAACTATAAATCAGGATTTAATTACCTTTTCCTAACAACATACCTAACTTATCTTTTCCTAACAAGCTATAAAACATACCTAGCTTATCTTTTTCTATTCTCTTGACAAGATACTTTGTTAATTTTTGCTGAAGCAGAAGTTTCTTTCATTCCTCTGGGCGGGGGTACTCTCCAAAATGAGCTTGCTTAGCCTAGGGTCTGGGCCTGGGTCCCCACACTGCTATTTAATTGAAAAAGGAAACACCATTGTGTTTGAGGGTAACTATAATACTACTATGTTTTTTAATATTAATTTTTAAGTATACTCTTTTAGTCTGTAGTTTTAGATTTGCTTACAGATGATACTTGACAAATTTACAGTAAAGAAAATGTCTGTGTAACTGTTTTTGCCTTATCACTTCTCCCTAATATTTTTGACAGGATTTAGTAGCCTCGCGGCCCCCTACTTGAATCCAGTAAAATCCTTTGTGCCACAGATGCCGAAGCTACTCAAGTCTCTCTTCCCTGTTCGTGACGAAAAAAGGGGCAAGCAGTCATCTCCCTTTGCACATCAGGTAACAGCATCAAAAAGCAACAGTGAACATGTTTTCAAATAGATTGCTGGCAAGATGGTGCTCTGCGATGCCCTGAAGCCGGAGGGAGGGGGCTAGATAGCAGCAATGGGGAGCGTTAGAGCTGGGCTTTTAGACCTGGTAAAAGCTTGTGATAATTTCTCTTCCACTCTCTTCAGAGATAACAGAGCTGTTTAAACTTATTGACACTCTCAGTCCTTCTTGCTTTTAAAAAATGCTAAGTACGCTACTAATGTGATTTATGGTAATACCACTTAGAGCAACAATAGTAAAATTTATGAAGTGCACTTAGTGTTGTTTGTGTATTGCCAAACAGAAAATGCAATTCTATTTTTAATTCTTGATTTCATTTCTTATTTCAAACAATTTCATATCGTCACTGTCCTTCCCTCTCAACCTCTTTTTCCTCTACTGTGGTTTACCTGTTCTTTCCTTTGTAATATTAAAAGTAATCATTTGTCTTATTTCCCCTTTTTCTTAAAACTCCACCTGGCCTTAGAATAAGTTTTGGAGGAAATGTTAAAGGGTTTTCCAAATAATCAGGGAACGAGGCTCCTAGGAGATGGTGAATGGGAAGCCTGTTGGAAATGCAATTTCTAGACTTCTATAGGTGTGAACTCAGCAGAAAATGATAAATGAGGATTTATTTATACTCATTCAAAAACACATACAGTGCAAGTTCAGTTGTTGAAATAGGTCTTTTGACATCAACTTCTCCACACTGACTTCAAGTTACAGAAATGCACATGAGTCCTTGTCTGAGACCTTAACTATTTAAAAGAACTCAGTTTATGAATGCATATGCAAGGGTGATGGCATTAGTTTAGTAAGGTTGCTTGCTGTGCAGATATATAATTTTTCAATCTAGTGTTATAGAAGCATACATATACACATATTGGATGAAAACATTGAGGTTTTGGAAATGTTTAAACTAAATTTGACTAGGCATGTAACGGGTGCTTGGACGTTATCAAAATGAATCTATGACCGTGAGAGCTAGGAGAAATAGCAAGTCTAATACTGGATGGGGGTTGGGGTAAGCAAAAATGATTTTTCCAAGGGTTTGTTATACATTATTCTGTTCTAAACTTCTACATTGTGATTTTGCAAAGTACGATTCATGGACAGTGTCAGAATTTCCATGGTAAGTTGTGAAAAAAGTTACCTTAAAAAAAAATACACTTTGATTTCATAACCCTTACCCCACCTGGGGGCACCTTATGAGCAGCCAAGGTGATTATTACTCATATTAAAGTTTGATAACCTCCATTTTTCAATTGCTATTTGGTGAAGACAGTTATATACATTATAGGAAACTGGAATGGCATTAGAAGCCATTGAATCAGCCTACTACAGTTACAATTATTTTTTAAAGCTACCCTGAGTTTTTGATGTAGCAAGTAAAATCACCTGCTACAATAAGAAATTATTTTTACTGATTTGACAATAAGTGATCGTTTCTTCTGGAAGAGCAATAATGTGTTAGAAACAAATCTAGCGATTGGAGGATAACTGTAATTTATCCAATTTAAGGAAGGTAATCTTGAAATATTTTGAGGATATTTTAAAGCAGTACTTGCTAATTCAATTTACTTTTTTTTTTGAGCATATATGAGCAAAGGTGTTGGGGAAAGTGGTCCCAACTGTTTTATATTTCATAAATAAATAAATAGATAAATATAAAACTAGACTTAACAAAGATGCCCAATAGTGGAACTAAAATGCTCCAACTGGTTTGTGAAACCCTCACTCAGCACAGGTACCCTCTCAAGGTTACTAGGGAACTACACCTTGCCTGCACGGTCTCTGCCCTCATCTGGCTTGACTTTCCAGCAACATCATGCTTGAAACGCTTTTCACCTCTAGGCTTCATTCATTACAACATTTGCTGGCTTCCCTTTTGCTGACTGCTCAGTCTTTCTCGATTGCCTTTTCTGGGACCATTTATTCCATCAAACCGCTAATATTCAGGTGCCCCAGAGCTCTGTCCTGGGCCCTTTTTTTTAAAAAAAAACAACCTCATTCTTTCCTTGGGTAATGTCATTCAGTTCCACGGCTTTAACTATAGCGCTCACCTTTCCATCCCTGCCCAGACTTTGCCCCTGACCCCTTTCTTGCCTTGTGGATGTAATTGCCCATTCAGCTTCTCCACTTACGTATCAGTTAGGCATTCACACTTTTCAAGTGCAAAACATTACCATTTGTTTCAGCTCACAAGTCTGTTTACCCCCTACACACAAAATACTTGCAAAAATACACGCCCACCTCAGTATGTAGTGCAAACATCCACCTGGTTGCTTATACCTTACAAATAATGCACCAGTAAAATTGTGTAGGTACCCCCCCCAAAAAAAAAAATTATGTAGGTACCAACCACTTACAATCCAGTGACTTCTGGCCCTCTCCATGTCCCATCCCTCATCCATGTCACCATCATTTCTTAACTATGGCAGCAGCCTATGGGTTGGCCTATCTGACACTGTTTTCGCTTCACGACTGTGTATCATGCACAAAGTAGCCACAGTGATCTTCTAAAGCCTTACATTAGTCCATGGCTTGAAACCTTCCACTGCTTGTTACTGAAACTGAATAAAATCTGAATTGCTTACTGTGGCTAACAGCATCCTATGTGACCTGATCCCCTGACCTCTACTCTTTATTCCCTTTATTCTCCCCTTTGTTCACCACACTAAGCCAAATTGGCTCGCCCTT